GTAGAGCTACTAAATGATAGTCAGCGTCACTGTATATTTCTAAGAAAGAAAATTATAAGACTTCATTGGTTGTAAATAACGCTAATTGTATTGGTTGCCACCAATGTCGACTTGAAAAGAAAATTATGGAGCTTCAGTTCATATGCATCTAGTCATATAAAAAAAAGAACACATGCTTCAACTCCTGTTAGTTCAGTCACAAAAAAAATCATCACCAAAAATCAGAAGACAAAGTATCATTGTTATATTTGTTGACTTGATTGATTACTGTAGGTTAACACACCCAACGTGTGAAAGATGCCCTTGTAATACCTAGTGGTTTTCTGCAGAATTTTATAGACATGAAAGTTTAGCTTACTAAAACCTGTTCCTTTGGTCTGTAAAGCTACATTGCATGAAAGCGTTAGGTAAAGATGCTCTAAGTTCTAACTGGAAGTTATATTGATTGACTGGTTGGCTTAGTGTTATTCACAAATCATGAAAGGAAGAAAAGCATCACCTGTGTTGTCAGGTGATTTCGAAGAACATCCAATGGGTAAGTTACAGATGCAGGTGTCACTCACGCTAGACCACCACCAAGTAAACATATAGACACTAACATAATTTGGGCCGTCCATTCCGTGAAGCTGCAACTATATTTCGAAATTTATAAACCTATAACAAAAAAACATAGTCGTGAGAAATCTTGCAAGTTAACATACTAAAATTCAGTGCTGAACTTTTTGTATCGCTCATATCAATAGAAGCTGATGACGGAATAAGAAAATCGATCTATAATTTTCACAAGATTGCCTTTCGAATATGCCCAAAACACTTCTTGTTGAACAACCCACGAAGCCATGTGCCATATACTACCCTTCCTTAGAGCTGCAACATCTGAATGCATACCTGCCACCTGTCTGATCAGTATGCCACAAGCTCATACAACAAACTTTATCATCAGCATATGGGTTATGTGACAAAAAAATTACTGTATTCAAGAACATTTTCGCGAGATTGCAATTTTGTAGCTATGAACAGCATATGGTACATACAATGAATCCACAACCAAGTTGAAGTTTGGACCATGATTGGACAATACAGCGCAGAGTGTTGTAAATTAACAACAATAATAATAGGCCATGACTGTCAACCAGAGATATATTGTTTGGGGCAATCAATTCAAAGCGAGGGAAGAATATATATCACATTCAGGGAACTTAGTTGATATTATCAGCATCCAATTCCTTTGAAGAATCTATATATGTGCAGTGTGAAAGCAGAAGGAGCACAGCAGCACCATGAAATAGAAGAGAAATATTCCTTCACGCTCACAATCCGTGCACACGAGAACGCCGGAGATAAAAGAGGGGGCGGAAAGCCTATTACCTGCAAGAGGATAGAGAGTGGCGAGGATCGAGATGCAGATCTTGCCGACCACGCCGGTGAGGTGTGCGACGGTGATCCAGCCAAGGAGCCGCTACGCTTGGCAGGGGAAGGCCCCGACGACGCCATGAAAGAGGAGACGGTGGCCGCCGCCAGTCGACGGCAACGGGGACCTGGCGGATATCACCTTCATCATCCCAGACACGCCTTCATGGTGGGCATCCTCACGGCCCCTTGAAACCGCAGCAGCTTCTCCTTGCATCCCCGTCGCCAGATCATAGCAAACTGTGCACACGTCCGAATCAGATCAAGATGCGGAAATAACCAAACCAGAAGAAGTGGAGGAGGGATTCGTACCTAGTCGAGGCCATGGACCAGAGGGTGATCTGCGGTGCCAACGCCAGACCGGTCAAACCTCCCACCAGCCGAGGGAGGCGGCGGCGACCTCGTTCCCCGGCGGCGGCGGCGGCGGCGGATCCTATTGGGGCTGGGGCGTCTCCTCTCGGCGGCGGCGGCGGCGGTGGGTCCTCTCGGGGCTGGGGCGTCTCCTCTCGGCGGCGGCTCCTCTCGAGGCTGGAGGCTGAGATGAAACAGATCGAAATTTATTACCATATTCGATATTTCCCGAGTTATGGCCTTACCATACCTGGATTGGTAGCCTTTGGGGTAATTTAAATTTATTACCATATTCAATATTTCCCGATTTATGGCCTTACCATACCTGGATTGATAGTCTTTGAGGTAATTTAAATTTATTACCATATTCAAAATTTCCTGAGTTATGACCTTACCATACCTGGATTGATTTATTACTATACGTGGATTAATTAGGATTTATTACTATATGATTTATTACTATACGTGGATAGCCTTACCATACCTGGTGGTAATTTAAATTTATTACCATATTCGATATTTCCGAGTTATGGCCTTACCATATCTGGATTGATAGCCTTTGGGGTAATTTAAATTTATTACCATATAATTGCCATATTCAAAATTTCCTGAGTTATGACCTTACCATACCTGGATTGATTTATTACTATACGTGGATTAATTATGATTGATTACCATAAATACGTTGGGTATTGCCGGTCAGACGAGAAAAGAGAAAAACCGGTGGGAGGGGCTAGTGGGAGGTGGGACGAAGAAAAACCGGTTGAAAATAAACCGGTTGAAAATAAACCGGTTGAAAGTGGGGGGACTATTCAACCAATTCGTCCATTAGGAGTAGAGATTGGCTTGAATTGGCTGCTTTAATCTAATGGGAAAATCAGCCCATGGCATGGAAGTAGAGGAAAGTCTGCACTGCACAGGTCTACATCCAATGGGAAATCGGATTTTATGGAGTGACGAATTCTCTGATTGGCAATATGATTGCGCCACATGAACATGAAATTCCAACTTAACCTGCCTTTTCTCCACATCAAATTTATTGCCCATTCCTGTAACATCGTTGGAATATTTCAAACCGTTGAAATTATGTCACACCTTCAACTGCATGACACTGGACATTGCACTAGTCATTTTCACACACACTTTTTTCACTTGTGATTGAGAAATTTGTTGTAAATAAGTGGTTATATACCAGCATCCAATATTTTCATTGGCCGACCCCGGAGAATGATAGGGATTATCGCCTATTTAGCGACATGTACACAAGGAGAGAAGTGCAGGGTACTACATTCGTTGAGGACCTACAGCTCCACCCACCACCCTCATCTCCACCTCCTTGCTCAACCATGAAGACATGGCGGCTTTTCATGGTCCATCTTCTCACTCGTACCCTCCTTTATCTCACACCCAGCTCTTCTCAACCCACCAGCAACCAAAGTATAGCAACTACAGCGCCGATCTCCCTGTGCTCCTATCATTCAAATCGTTGATAACCGGTGATCCTACAGAGGCACTGTCCTCTTGGTCTTGGGACCCTGTCAGGAATGGCACGAGCACGGTGCCGTTGCCTGATTACTGCGAGTGGACCGGCGTGTCCTGCAGCAACCGCCGGCACTCAGGCCGTGTCACCGCCATACATCTGGATGGCTTGGACCTAGCCTGCGCCATCTGCCCCCGCAGCTCGGTAACCTGACCCGCCTCCGCGTCCTCAGTCTTTCGGATAACAACCTCGGTGCTTGTACATCACTTCATGCCTTGGACCTGAGCGGGAACTACCTCTATGGTTCCATGCCTGCTTCTCTAGGTCTCCTATCAAACCTCACATCTCTCAACGTTACCCATAACAATCTGACTGGTGATATTCCCATGTCATTCTCCAACCTCACAGCTCTCACGAACCTTAGCATGCGTAGCAACTACTTCCATGGCCAAATCCCCAGCTGGCTCGGCAACCTGACTTCACTGACACACTTAGGATTATCCCAGAACAGTTTCAATGGCCATCTCTCTCCAGCTCTTGGTAAGATGGCTAATCTTGTTATATTTGACATCACAGCTAACAGACTGGAAGGCCCTTTTCCTCCATCCTTGTTCAATCTTTCTTCCGTCACAGACTTCCGCATCAGCTTCAACCAGTTTTCAGGATCTCTGCCGCTTGATATTGGCTTTAAGCTTCCCAAGCTACATATATTCACCACAAATGGGAACCAATTCGTTGGACCAATACCAGCCTCCTTGTCAAATGCTCCGCACTTAAAGATTTGTTTTTTCGCGGAAATCAGCATCATGGGCTGATTCCACGGGACATTGGCATCCATGGTCATATCCGGATATTTTCCTTAGGACACAATTTTCTTCAAACCACAGAGCGTAGGGATTGGGATTTCCTCACATCCTTAACCAACTGTAGCAACCTGACAATACTAGACCTTGAACAAAACAACCTCGAAGGTGTTATGCCAGTTACTATTGCCAATCTATCTACAGAGCTCTACTGGCTTACAATAGGCAGAAACAAAATAGCTGGGACCATACCTGCAGGTTTAGGGAAGTTTCAAAAACTTAGAAAGGTCATCCTCGCAGATAGCCTTTTCACGGGCACCCTGCCTCTGGATATTGGCCAGATTCCTGGCCTCCAGTATCTTGACCTATCCCATAATAGATTCTATGGGCGGATTCCACAGTCATTAGGCAATATCACACAATTGAGCAACCTCTCTCTATCTAATAACTTTCTAGGTGGCAGCATTCCACCAACCCTTGGTACCCTCACAAAACTTGTATCTCTGGATCTTTCCGCTAACTCCTTGATGGGGGAAATCCCACAGGAGATACTTAGTATTCCCTCTCTTACCTTACTTCTCAACCTCTCCAGCAATGCTCTAAGTGGCTCCATTCCAACACAGATAGGGAAGTTGAACAGCCTTGGCATAATCGACCTATCAATGAACAAGCTGTCTGGTGAAATCCCAGACGCTCTCAGCAGTTGCGTCCAACTGAATTTCCTAAATTTGCAAGGAAATCCTTTGCAAGGGCCAACACCGAGAGGCTTTTCTTCTTTGTGAGGCCTCGAAAAGTTGGATCTTTCCAATAATAACTTAGCAGGACCTGTACCTGAGTTCCTCCTGAGTTTGGAGCTCCTAACGTATCTAAACTTCTCTTTCAACAACTTATCTGGTCCCGTTCCAAATACAGGGATCTTTCACAATGCCACTGTATTGTTGCTCCCTGGTAATGGCATGCTATGCGGGGGTCCCCCATCCTTGCAACTCCCTTCATGCCCATATAACCAGGCTTCGCAGCATCGGCGTCGAGTCATACTCTTTTGCATTGTTGGAATTTTGATCTTCTTCATGTGCTCCCTAACTGCATGCTACTTGATGAAGACAAGAATCAAACCAAACAGTGGTGCTGATCAAGAAATCAAATTTCACCATGAGATGCATGAGAGGATATCCTATGCTGAGATAGATGCAGCAACAGAGTCATTCTCACCGGCAAATTTGATTGGTTCTGGAAGTTTCGGCAACGTGTACATAGGAACTCTAAATCTTGATGAGAGTTTATATACTGTAGCAATCAAGGTTCTCAATCTTGGCAAACGAGGAGCTAATAGAAGCTTCTTGAGAGAGTGTGAAGCCCTAAGGAAGATTCGACACCGGAAACTTGTCAAAGTGATCACTGTGTGTAGCAGTTTGGACCGTAATGGTGATGAGTTTAAGGCACTTGTCTTAGAATTTGTCTGCAATGGAAATTTAGATGAGTGGCTGCATCCAAAAGCAGCGACTAACAGCATGACCTTTAGAAGGCTAAGTTTGATGGAAAGGCTATGCATTGCTCTTGATGTTGCAGAGGCATTAGAATATCTTCATCATCAAATTGAGCCATCCATAGTTCACTGTCACATCAAACCATGCAACATCCTTCTAGATGATGACATTGTTGCGCACATTACCGACTTTGGTCTAGCAAAGATAATGCATACTGAAGAATGCGAGCACGGTGGTGGTGGAACCGAAAGCAGTTCACTTGTAATTAAAGGCACAATTGGATACGTCGCACCAGGTCAGCAACATTTTAAACTCATTTAGGAATATGTATATTATTTGATTCAATATCAGTTTGGCAGATTTCACTTGACAAGCTAAATTGAATTGATGAGTGAAATCTGCCAAATTTGTGTCTACTCAGTGCACAACGAGTAACATCTTTGTCTACATGTTTTCTAGAGTATGGCTCAGGATCCGAACCCTCCACGGAAGGCGACGTATATAGCTACGGGGTGTTGCTATTGGAAATATTTACTGGAAGGAGGCCAACTGACAATTTCATGGATGGTGTGACAGGCCTTGTCGGCTATGTCAGGATGTCCTATCCTTATAAGCTACTGGAAATATTGGATGCTAGTGCAACCTACAGCGGAGACACGCAGCATATCATTGATATATTCTTATATCCTATGTTTAAGCTTGCCCTAGCTTGCTGCGAGGATTGCCCAAGGCACAGAATGAAGATAGATGATGTAGTCAAGGAATTGAACATCATAAAGAGAGCATGTGCAGCTCATAAGGCTGTCCATGAGTTTCGAGCAACCGCCTAATCCATAGGCGAGCAATGAAGCGTTATGATCATCTTTTCGGTGTGCACCCTGATGCTATGGAAATGGAATGGGAGTTCTGAAATGTGCTTCTAAAACTTGTGCTTCTATTATTTGATCATATAGTGTTTGAACTTCATCTGAGGCGTGCTCATATCGAAGTTCACCGGTGTGTGTGTTGTTTTGTATTGCTGGCGTTCGGTGCCTGGAATTCCCTGAAGTTCAGTTCTGGTGCCGTCCTGAAATCCGTAGCTTGGTCTCTGCCTCCGAACTCGCCGTATCAGCAGGTGCGGTGTAGGTGTTTTCTTGTTGCCGGTGTTTCGTTGATATGGGGTGAGATTTGATTTGAAATGTTTAAATTCGTAAACTGCCCGGAACTGTTCTTTCTAGAATTAAAATTGATTTCAGGGGCTAGTCCTGTCCGGTCTTGTTCTTTCTGTTTCTTTGCTCACAGACACAGAAAAACATTTTTGCTCTTCTTTGTGTCGTTCACTCGTTCTACAGGGGTAGTCCTCCATGTCAGCAGTCACTACTCACATTCGGTGTGTCACGTTGGATAAGCTGACAAGTGGGCCCCACCCGTCAGCAGTTATGAGGAAGCATTCGAGACCATCGGTTGAGCAAGTAATGGATTCTAATTGGAGGAGAATCATCACTGTCTTAGCTTCAGCTCATGACTGGGCGCTAATCAAACATATCCTTCAGCTGGTATACGATACGACCTTTTGCTAGATCACCTGCTAGTAATTTCCCACTCTATCAGAAAGCTGCCAAGCAGTATAGTGCCCGCCTGTTGAACTCGACGGCTCGGGTAATTGATGGGATGCCACGGCTCTCTTGCATCTTGTATGATGGAAAATCAGATGTCTAAGTGTGATTTCGGAAAGGGAAGATAAAAAAGAAAACGGGCCAAAGAAAAAGAAAAAAAGAGAAGCAAAAGGTAAAGTGTGTCTGCAAATACAATGGAGCCCTCAGGAACAGCAATAGCATCTGCAGAATTTCAGAAAGAAAAGGGCCAGATCGTGTATAACTGTACATGGAAATAATTATGTTCTGATGAGCTCCGGTTTAACTGCAACACTGGCTGAATTTCTGAAGACAGCAGAGGTGGATTACATATGGCTAAAACAAAGAGATCTGTGATTTTATTGGCAATAGACTGAAGATTTTTTTAAAAAAATCAGACGGGTCAAGGCCCTGGGCCCAAATGGTTTGTCCAAATAATATCTTAGTGAACTTGTGATGAGGTTCTAACTGTTTTTTTTTTTGCCACATGAACCTACTATATTATTCTATCTGTTCCCATTCACATGGCCTTCTCATTTTTCTTTGTTTAACTTCGGCCATTAGTTTGAGCAATAATATATGTGTTGTCTGTTATAATTTTTTTCATCATGGTTTGAATAAGAATTTGATGATATAGTTTTGTGACCCATAATCCTTGTTTAGTTGTTTAAATTGATAGTCCAACCTGAATTTTGAAATATGTGCACACCACGTAATTTAGGACGAAAGGAGCGCCCTTGTAGCGAAATGGTATCTTGTCCACCGTCGATCTGTATCGAAAGTAAGCTCGTTCTGGATAGCTTACTTTTATTTCATCTTTGCATTGAACATATTATGTGCTGCTTGGGATTGCTACTGAAAATGTGTTGAGGGATACACTTATGTGGCATTATAGATGTGTGTGTTTGTGTGTGCGCGCCTGTGTGTGTTACTCGTTCTATCTAGTCATAGTGGGAGTAACTTAGCTAGTAACATAACGCGTCACAAAACAAGTTTGCTTATGTTGCACCTAGTTAATGAGGAGAGAGGTGTTTGGAGTAACATATTATGTTACCATCACATAGCGCTTCCCAAGAAATGTTGAGTCTATAAGCTAATAAATGCAACCATATATGATACTACTTCTATGACACTTTGCACTATGAAGGTAGTAACATAGACTAGTGTCATATGCATGACACTAGTCTAAGTTACTCCCCACTATGACCAGCCATGTTGGGGATCGTTGCAGAAATTAAAAATTTTCTACGCATCACCAAGATGAATCTATGGAGTTTACTAGCAACGAGAGGAGAGTGCATCTTCATACCTTTGAAGATCGCGATGCAGAAGCGTTGCAAGAACGCGGTCGGTGGAGTCGTACACGAAGCGATTCAGATCGCGGCCGATTCTGATCTAAGCACTGAACAACGGTGCCTCCGCGTTCAACACACGTGCAGCCCGATGACGTCTCCCGCGCCTTGATCCAACAAGGAGAGAGGGAGAGGTTGGGGAAGACTCCGTCCAGCAACAGCACGACGGCGTGGTGGTGGTGGAGCGTGGCACTCCAGCAGGGCTTCGCCAAGCACTGCGAGAGACGAGGAGGGAGAGGGGTAGGGCTGCGCCAGGAGAAGGGATGCGGTTGCCCTCCCACCCCCACTATTTATAGGGGGAAGGGGAGAGGGGGCCGGCCCCCTAGATCCATCTAGAGGGGGGGCCCTTAGGGTTTCCAACTAGGGGGGGGGGGCAGTGGCCCCTAGGGTTTCCAACCCTAGGCACCTTGGGCCCTTGGGGGGCGCACCAGCCCACTAAGGGGCCGGTTCCCACCCATCTACAGCCCATTAGGTCCTTTGGGGCAGGTAGACCCTCCCGGTGGACCCCCGGAACCCCTTCGGTGGTCCCGGTACAATACCGATAAACCCCGAAACCTTTCCGGTGACTGAAACTGGACTTCCCATATATAAACCTTTACCTCCGGACCATTCCGAAACTCCTCGTGACGTCTGGGATCTCATCCGGGACTCCGAACAACATTCGGTAACCACGTACATATATTCCCTATAACCCTAGCATCATCGAACCTTAAGTGTGCAGACCCTACGGGTTCGGGAAGCATGCAGACATGACTGAGACATCTCTCTGGACAATAGCCAACAGCGGGATCTGGATACCCATGTTGGTTCCCACATGCTCCACGATGATCTCATCGGATGAACCACGATGTCAAGGATTCAATCAATCCCGTATACGATTACCTTTGTCTACCGGTATAGCACTTGCCCGAGATTCGATCGTCGGTATACTGATACCTTGTTCAATCTCGTTACGGCAAATCTCTTTACTCGTTCCATAACACATCATCCCGTGATCAACTCCTTGATCACACTGAGCTCATGATGATGATGTCCTACCGAGTGGGCCCAGAGATACCTCTCCGTCATACGGAGTGACAAATCCCAGTCTCGATTCGTGCCAACCCAACAGATACTTTTGAGGATACCCGCAGTGTACCTTTATAGCCACCTAGTTACGTTGTGACGTTTGGCACACCCAAAGTACCCCTACGGTATCCGGGAGTTGCACAATCTCATGGTCTAAGGAAAATGATACTTGACATTAGAAAAGCTTTAGCAGACGAACTACACGATCTTGTGCTATGCTTAGGATTGGGTCTTGTCCATCACATCATTCTCCTAATGATGTGATCCCGTTATCAATGACATCCAATGTCCATGGTTAGGAAATCGTAACCATCTATTGATCAACGAGCTAGTCAACTAGAGGCTCACTAGGGACATGTTGTGGTCTATGTATTCACACATGTATTACGATTTCCGGATAACACAATTATAGCATGAACAATAGACAATTATCATGAACAAGGAAATATAATAATAACCATTTTATTATTGCCTCTAGGGCATATTTCCAACAGTCTCCCACTTGCACTAGAGTCAATAACCTAGTTACATTGTGATGAATCGAACACCCATAGAGTTCTGGTGTTGATCATGTTTTGCACGTGGAAGAGGTTTAGTCAACGGATCTGCGACATTCAGGTCCGTATGCACTTTACAAATCTCTATGTCTCCATCTTGAACATTTTCACAAATGGAGTTGAAGCGACGCTTGATATGCCTAGTCTTCTTGTGAAACCTGGGCTCCTTGGCAAGGGCAATAGCTCTAGTGTTGTCACAGAAGAGAGTCATCAGGCCTGACACATTGGGAATAACTCCTAGGTCGGTAATGAACTCCTTCATCCAAATTGCTTCATGTGCCGCCTCCGAGGCTGCCATGTACTCCGCTTCACATGTAGATCCCGCCACGACGCTTTGCTTGCAACTGCACCAGCTGACTGCCCCACCATTCAAAATATACATGTATCCAGTTTGTGACTTGGAGTCATCCAGATCTGTGTCGAAACTAGCATCGACGTAACCCTTTACGACGAGCTTTTCGTCACCTCCATAAACGAGAAACATATCCTTAGTCCTTTTCAGGTACTTTAGGATATTCTTGACCGCTGTCCAGTGTTCCATGCCGGGATTACTTTGGTACCTTCCTACCAAACTTACGACAAGGTTTACATCAGGTCTGGTACACAACATGGCATACATAATAGACCCTATGGCCGAGGCATAGGGGATGACACTCATCTTTTCTCTATCTTCTGCCGTGGTCGGGCATTGAGCCGTGCTCAATCTCACACCTTGCAATACAGGCAAGAACCCCTTCTTGGACTGATCCATATTGAACTTCTTCAATATCTTGTCAAGGTACGTGCTTTGTGAAAGACCAATGAGTCGTCTCGATCTATCTCTATAGATCTTGATGCCTAATATGTAAGCAGCTTCTCCAAGGCCCTTCATTGAAAAACACTTATTCAAGTAGGCCTTTATGCTTTCCAGGAGTTCTATATCATTTCCCATCAATAGTATGTATTCCACATATAATATGAGAAATGCTACAGAGCTCCCACTCACTTTCTTGTAAACACAGGCTTCTCCATAAATTCGCGTAAACCCAAATGCTTTGATCATCTCATGAAAACGAATGTTCCAACTCCGAGATGCTTGCACCAGCCCATAGATCGAGCGTTGGAGCTTGCATACCTTGTCAGCATTCTTAGGATCAACAAAACCTTTCGGCTGCATTACATACAATTCTTCCTTAAGGAAACCATTAAGGAATGCTGTTTTGACGTCCATTTGCCATATCTCATAATCATAGAATGCGGC